CAAATCCCAGCACCCACATGGTGGCTAACAGCCATTTGTAACTCCAGTTCCAGGGGATCCGATGCACTCTTCTGTCCTCCGCAGGCATTACACAACAGGCATGCACTTACATACATGCAGGCATAACACTCATACACATTAAAATAAATTTTAAAAAAGAACGCATTTAATAAGTGGCAGATTAAATCCACATTCCTTCAGTTTGACTCTAGACCTTTTCTCAACTGCTGTCCTGTGCTTCCTCCTGTAGCCCGTGTTCTTTGGTAACTTGTACACCTTTATATGAAAATTGACAAACTATTTCCAAAGTTTGTGTGACTTTTGCATTCCCACCAGTAGTTCATTTTTAATAAGCTCATTTGAAACCTATTAGGGCTAGGCCCCTGTTAAAGTCGTGCCTCGTCTACAGCTGCTCTCACCTGTGTGTTGAGATGTGGCAGTGCTGCATGGAAGCATAGTGTTCACTTGTGTGTCTCAGCAACCCTTCCACCTCTTGCATTTTGAACATCTAGGATTGTTAACAGTGCCCACAGGTAGAGCAAGAGTCCACTCAGAACATAGCTTTGTGTCACCACTTTAGGACGAGATAATGGGTGTTTTACTTTCAATAAGCAAGGAAATGGGGCATGCGTGCAAGTACACGTCTTATTCAGTTAGAGTAACAGGGTCAATCCTGCTAATATGACCAACCATTTTAGAAAAGTAGAAACTAAACAGAAGTATTTCCATAAGACTTAGAACTTCATCTTAAGAGTTTGATCAGCTTAAATTTAGGGCTTTTGAATTGCAGTGGATTGGTACTTAAACTTAGATTTTATTTGTTTTTGGTATTTTTTCAATATTTTTTTAATTTATTATTTTATGTGTATGAGTGTATTGCCTGCACGTATGTGAGTGCACCTGTGTCATGCAATGCCGCGGAGGTCAGAAGAGGGCTTCGGATTCCCCTGGAACTGGAGTTCATAGCCTCCATGTGGGTGCTGGGAACCGAACCCGAGTCCTTTGCAAGAGCAGTCAGTGCTCTTAACCACTGAGCCATCTCTCCAGCCCTTTATTTTTGGTCTTTTTGAGACAGGGTTTCCCTGTAGCCCCAGCTGGCCTGGAACTCACTCTGTAGACCAGGCTGGCCTTGAACTCACAGAGATCCACTTGCCTCTCCCTCCCCAGTGCTGGGATTACAGGCATGTGTTGACATGCCCGGCTAGATTTTATTTTGAAATTCATAAAAGTATCTAAGGATTGGAAAGAATCATAATGTTTGTTTCAACTATCAGTGGGACTTTTCAGTTACTGTCCATCATCCCAGTGACCTGGCCCTTGCATGCGTGTGTAATACCCACACACAGATACACACATATACATATAATTTAAAGAATAAAACCTAAAAAAAAAGAAAAATAAATTAAAAACTTAACGTATGCCAGAATTTTAGGTTAGAGTGATCTCATGATTCTGAGTAGAAACTGCAGTTCGGGTTAGCAAAGATCAGGAACGCTCACATCACTGAGAGACTGCATCAGTATGTCTTTGGCTGACAGTGAGATGACTTAATTAAAAAGAAATCTAATTCCTACCAACTGTAGGCAAGGGCTAGTCCAACTTTGTGGACTAGAATTGAATGAAAACCTATGAATTTCTTTGCATATGCCAGACTACTAGAGTAGAGTGCTGGTCTGTCATATGCTTTATGATCAGCAGTGAATGTTTCTATAGCCTAACATTAAGATAAACTTCGGAAAGTTTTCTGAAAAGATTGTGACCATGTGTTTCAAACTTAATGCATCCAAAGGGTTCAGCTTTCTATATTAAATCAGTTTCATGAATTATCAATATGCAGCACGCTATTTTGTTTTAAACAAAATCATTGCATATATGTGACCCTTCAGTTAGGTAAACTGTGTCATTATGTATATCTGTGAAACTACACCATGCTCAAGGTATTAGAAATTTGAGGCTGTGGTTCAGTGCTTGCCTAGGATGCCCAAGACCGTGGTTTTGATCTTCAGCCCAACAAAACACAAATGACAAAAATACAATTGAGAATGTGTTGCTCCAAAAGTTTCTTTTCAGCCCTTTGTAGTCCTCGCTCTTGCCCAGCTACACCCATTCCCAGGCAGTCTGTACATTTGCTTTCTATTACCTGAAACTAGTTTTCATTGTCTAGAATTTATATAAATGGGTTTTATCCTATAGACTGTGTGTATGTGTCTGTATCTGTGTGTGTTTCCTTAACAGTGCTGGGAATGAAACCTAGAGTCTCGTGCATGCTTGCCAAGTGCTCTGCCACTCAAGCCACATTCGGTCCTGAGTGAGTTTTTGACTCAGCATAGTTATTTGGAGATAATCCATGTTGATGAATGTATAATTCTTTATTTTTGTGTACGGGGTGGGCATGCTCACTCCTACATGCTACTCCTACTTCTAGAGGCCAGAGGTCATGGACTTTGGGTACCTTCTGTCGCTGTCCACCTTATATTTAAAGGTTTACATTTACTTATTTATGGTGTGGATGTGTGCGTGCCGTAGCCTGGGTATGGAGGTCTGGAGGTCAGAGGACAAGTTGCATTAGTCTGTTCCCTGCTTTCACCATGTGGGTCCTGGGGCTTGAACTTAGGACAGCCTTGGAGACAAAGTGACTTACCCCAGAGCCATCTAACCTTTTTTTTTTTTTTGACAGGATCTCACTGTGCAGCCCTGGTTAGCCTAGAACTTGCTGTGTAAACCAGGCTGGCCTAGAGCTCAGAGATCCATCCACCTCTGCCTCTCAAATGCTGGGACTGAAGGTGTATGCCACCATGCCCAGCTCCGTTTTAGTTTTTAGACAGTCTGTCAGTGAATCTGGAACTTTGTGTTTCAACTAGACTGGCTAGCTAGAAAGCCCCCAGAATCCATCTACTGCTGCACCCCCAGTGTTGGGACTACACATGTGTACATCCAGCTCTTGATACAGGTGCTGGGGATCTGAAGTCATATCTTTATTCTTGCATAGCAGGAAGCCATCTCCCAGGCTCTTGTAGGAGTTAATTCTTTATTGTGGCAGCCAAGGTGTGCAGCCTTTTGCAGTTGTCATCTACAAAGTTCACTCTTGAGAACCACACAGTCGAACCACACACACACACACACACACACACACACACACACACAAAATCTCATATGTTTTAAGTAAGTTTACAGTTTTGTGTTGGACTGCATTCACAGGTATTCCAGGGCTCATGTGGCTGATGAGCCACCAGTTGTGCATACCTGCACATGGGCGGTAAACCTATTTATCTGGATGTTCCCAGCTGAAGGCAGTTGTAGCTGTTTGGAGTTTTTCTGCTGTTAAATAAACTTAGCCAATTTAAATAAAGCGGTTTGAGTAAAAAATGATTTTCCATGATTCAAATAACACTCAAAACCTAGAAGATTCAGAGGTCTCCGTCTGTAACTGGGCATTGAGTATTTTTAGCTCCCCCCCCCCAAAAAAAAAGGTAAGGGGAATAAAGTGGGGAAGTGCTAAGATAGGTTCCAGTTCCATCTTTCTCTGCCCCTTTTGGGCATGGTTGGATCATGTTGGCAGCTTGTGATCAGCTGAAGTTTGGCTGCTTATAATTGGGTGAGACTGTTTGTTATGCTAATCAGTCAGGTTTCTAATCTGTTTACATAATCAGGTTGAAGTTCACTATATAGGAGCTCAAAGTATAGAGACCACCTCAGATCAGTGGACTTTATTTAGGTAAATACCCAAGTATGGGCTAGCTGGGTTGTATGGCAGGGTATGGAGCTTTGGAAACAAAGGTTATGTGCTTGATATCTATGCAGCAACATTGGCTTTCTTTGCTGTCATTTTTTGTGCTGGGATTGAACCCAGGACTCCACCAGTGAGCTACACCCCCAACCTACCGTTATTTATGTACTTGAATTTATAAACAATTTCAACAAAGCAGGTGATGCTTGAGGGAGGAGTTGTAGTTTGTTTTAATAGCTGGAATTCTAAGAATCGGTTCAAATTATTTGGGAAGAGAATCACTTGCCTTGGCGATGCTTTTAGGGCATGAAGAAGAAACTGGATGGTAATTATACGGATCTCTGGGCAGTTCCTGGGATGAGGAAGACTGCAGAAGCAGTGAGTTTGGGAATCTCAGTTCAACTTGTACGTGTTAGATTTCGAGCCTGGAGTTTATTACTGTGTTTATCTAGATTTGTGGTTACTGTGCTTACTGTGTTTGTGTATAAAGACATATCTTAGGTTTAATGTAGACCTGAGGTCACACAGCAAGTCATTGGCAGAATTAGAGCTCACATCTGCAGCCTCTGACTCCAAAACTCATGTTTTATATCTTATGCTATCCTTAGGTCAGGAAAACATGCTTGGCATTGACAATAATAAAATGTTCCCTGTGAGCTGTTATTATAAATACATAGCAGAGTTTGCAAGCTCAGATGCATATCGGGTCCAGACAGGTAACTGTGAACCAGGTTGCCTTGGAAGAGAGGGCAGCATTTGTGGAGAACTACAAAGCCCAGACCCCACTAGAAGCTGGCTGTAATCTGCTCTGCTGGAGTGTAGGCACAGACCCTGTATTGCCAGATTTGATTTTTCAAGAGACACCAGAAACATAGATTTTTATTTATTTATTATTTATTCATTCATTTATATTTTTGGTAAAGTCTTCAGATTTGTCAGTGTGGACAGCTGTTCTTTACCATTGTGTAGGCCAACCTTGTGTGGGTCTTCCAAAGACTTACTTGCTAGATTCTGCCTAATGGGCAACCTTGGGTATGGGTTTTCAGTTGTACCTGGTATACTGTGGAGGCAACAATAAATTTGTGTGATGGGAAATGGGTGGTAACTGTATAATAAGCACATGGCAGGCACTGAACAGCAGGTTTAGTTTAAGCATGGTGCTTAGTGAGTCTAGCATTTGAGTTGGGTTTTTATATGTATCAGCTAATTACAGATGAGGAGGGATTGGTGCTCCCACAGCTTCTGCCTCCTAAGTGCATGCTTTCATTTGCAGACAGAGCCAGTTTTAAGTCAAATCTGGAAGCCAAATGAGAAGAAATACTTAAGAACAAGGTCTACTGCTAAGGAGTCTGAAGTCACCTGGGTGTCATATGGAACATTCTCAACTCAGAGGTAGCTGAGTAAGTAAGTGGTAAGTCTGTCTCCGCTGATACTAGATAGCCTAAGCGATTTCCACAAAAGTAGCCTACTTTCCCTTATTAGCATTTACCAATGTAAGTTAATTTTTGTGTTACAGTGAATAACAGCACAGTTTAAGGGAATTCTTTTTCCTCAGCATGTTTAAGATTTCAGAGTTTGGCCTCTTTTCTTCCATGTGTGATTCCCTCCCCCTTTCATACTCAGCTGGTATTAAGTGATGGTCTTGATACACTTGCTAGTAGCCATTCGCTTTTTGGTCCTAGAAGGTTTGATGCCTCTGGAAGTGGTCCAGGAGCTCTGGTGAGAAAGGGAGGCCTGCTGGGTTTCCAGAGATAGTTTCTTGTTTTGAGAAGCAAAGAGATGGTCGCTCCTTTCTCTAGAGTGTCATCACATGGCTGTGATTCTGGAACTGCAGCAGGAGTCTTGCTGGATGTGCTTCTTTGTGGGAAGAAGGGCCGAGCCAAGGGAGCTTCAGGAGCTCTCTTCACTCCTAAACTCTCTGCTCCTAAAGCTTCCTTGTCATTTGAGCTCTGCCTTGAAACTGTTATTTGCTGCAGAAGTTGTCCAGACTCAACTTACTTTCTGATTACTCAAAGTCTGGTCATTTAGTGTCTTGTGCATTTCCGTTTTGATTTCCTTCTGAGCTGTTCTGAAGTGTTGATTGGTGTGTGTTGCCTTTGCAACACAACATGTAAAGTTGGTGAAGTCTGGGGATGGTACTTGTATCTGTTGTGTCTGAATTGTGTATTTTTCTTTGTACTGATAGCAGGGTATATATACTGAACAGAATCATTTATATGAACAGTAAAGTAGTTTGTCTTTTTTTTTTTGAGCTGAGGATTGAACTCAGGGCCCTGTGCTTGCTAGGCAAGTGCTCTACCACTGAGCTAAATCCCCAACCCCTGAACAGTAAAGTGTTTGAAAAACCATTCCGCAGACTTGAAGAAATACATATATTTTCTTTAAATTAAGATCTTTTTCTTTCCTTTTAAAATTTATTTATTTGAGATAGGGTCTCCCTTTAACTCCAGCTGACCTGGAACTGGCTATGTAGGCCACAATGACCTTGATCTCAGCTATCCACCTGCCTCTGCCTCCTCTGCCACCAGACTTGGATCATATCTTTTTTTTTTTCTCTCTTCCTTTTCTTTCTTTCTTTCTTTCTTTCTTTCTTTCTTTCTTTCTTTCTTTCTTTCTTTCTTTCTTTCTTTCTTTCTTTCTTTCTTTCTTTCTTTCTTTCTTTCTTTCTTTCTTTCTTTCTTTCTTTCTTTCTTTTTTGGTCTTTTTGAGACAGGGTCTCCCTGTAACCCCAGCTGGCCTGGAACTCACTATGTAGACCAGGGTGGCCTCGAACTCCCAAGTGCTAGGATTAAAGGTGTGCATACCATATCTTTTACTTTGGTAACACTGTTTGCCTCCAGGATCATGAATGAAGATGGGCTTGGTGGAGGGCAGGTTGGCCTAGAGCTTGCTGTGGAGCTGCTTGTTTTTCTTCATGGGTCATGATGAAATGGGGGCAAATAATGTTTTAAGGAGATAGGGAAAGTTGTAAGATATGTGTTTACCCATCAGCTTAAATGCAGTAATACTATTCATGATATAAGAAACTTAAATCAGGGCTGGAGAGATGGCTCAGCAGTTAAGAGCACTCTCTACTCTTGGAGAAGACCAAGGTTCGAATCCCAGCACCCACATGGCAGCTAACAACTGTCTGTAACTCCAGTTCCAGGGAATCCAACACCTTCTCTCCTCCACGTACATTGCAAGTGTGGGTACACTTACTTATATGCAAGCAAAACACTCATGCATAAAAATTAATTGTAAAAAATTAAATTGAGCTGGGTGTGGTGGCACACACCTTTAATCCCAGCACTTGGGAGGCAGAACCAGGTGGATCTCTGTGAGTTCAAGGCCAGCCTGATCTACATAATGGTTTCCAGGGCAGATGGGGCTACAGGAAGCCCCTGTTCAAAAAAAAAAAAAAAAAAAAATTAAATCACTAAGGCCACTTTATTTTAGTACAAATGGATCATGCATCTCACCAAGGTAGTCAGGGCAAGCATGCAACCCAAGCCAGAGCAGTTAGACTCTGAGGACATTTGCTAGGAATGCTGGGATGATAGAGGTGCCCTTTACTGTGAAGGTACATAGTCACAGGGCTCTTGGCAGCCATCTTCTGACAGGAACCAGCAGAGCAAGAAAGGTCACACCCTGGTCACCTAAGTCGTGCAGTTCTAGATCAAGTGTTCCCTGAGGCTAGTTACCTCTAGGTTCCTGTTTAATCCACCTATTTTTCTATGTCAGAACTGCCTGGTACATCCTTCTCTTCACCCATTCTACAGCTATAGAGAGAACACAAGCTCAAGTTATGAATTAGACAAGAAGCTATGGGAATGTTAGTGTGATGGCAGATAATGCAGTCTATGCATGATTAGATGGTGAAGTGTTAAGTATGGCCCATACCATCACAACTTAATGTTAAATGGAAGAAGTTGGCATGTAAATAACTAATGAATATTTTCTTGTGTTTTTGAGAAAGGGTCTCATGTAGCCCAAGCTAGCACTCTTGATCCTTTTGCTTTCGCCTCCCCACTGCTGGGATGACAGTCCTGTGCCACTACACCTGGTGTGATTTTTTTCTTTGTTTGTTTTTGAGGCAGGGCCTCACTATATAGATGAGGTGACTCCTGAGTGCTGGGGTTAAAGGCATATGCCACCACACCTGTCTGATTGTAACACAGTTAAATCTAGATTCTGCAAAAGAGAGAAAGAACATGTTCATGTATCTAAGTCTGGCTTATTTCACTTAGCATGGTCCTCCAGTTCCATCAGTTTTCCTGCAAATGGCACCTCGTTCTTTATGGTTGACTGAAATTCAATTGTGAATACATACCTCATTTTCCTTTTTTTTTTTTTTTTTTTGAGACAGGGTCTTTCTGTGTAGCCCCAGCTGGCCTGGAACTTACTATGTAGACCAGGCTGGCCTTGAACTCACAGACGTCCACCTGGTTCTGCCTCCCAAGTGCTGGGATTAAAGGCATGTGCCACCATGCCTGGCACACCACATTTTCTTTTTCTAGTCATCTATTCATGGACACCTAGGCTGGTTCCATCTCTTGGCTATTGTGGTGCAATAAATGGGCCTGCAAGTATGTTTGCTTGCTTAGATCCCTTCTAGTAGCTGGATGATATGCTAATTCTGTTATTAATGTTTCCAGGATCTGCCCTACTGATTTCCATAGTGGCTGCACTGGTTTACTTTACTAGCAGTATATAGGGTTTCTCTCTTCCAAATCCTTACCATCCCATATTATTTCTTTTCTTGATGGTAGCCATCAAGGTGAGATGGAATTTCACTATAGTTGTAGTTTGCGTTTTCTTGCTGTATAAAGGTGTTGAACATTTCTTCAGTAGTATCAACCATTTATGTTTCTTCTTAGAACTGTCTGCAGTTAATTCATCTGGACTGTTTTGTTTTTGAGATAGGGTTTCAAGTATTTCGGGTCTTTTGTGCTGCTTACATTTGAATTTAGGATTTTTTTTTTTCTTATTTCTGTGAAGTATGTCATTGGAATTGTGGGAACTGGATTGAATCTGTAGATTGCTTTTGTTAACAGCTATTTTCACAGTATTAGTTCTGCAAGTTGATGAGCTTGGAGGACTTTCCATCTTCTAGGGTCACCTTCAATTTCTTTGTTGAGTGTTTTAAAGTTGTAGGTTGGGTATTCTGGTAACATGCCTGTAATTCTAGCACACAGGAGGCAGAGGCAGAAGGATCACAGCATGTTGAAGTCCATCCTTGTCTACATAGGGAGTTCCAGGACAGCCAGGGCTACAAGTGGCAGAACCCTGTCTCGGGAAACAAACAAAAAACCAGACCAAAGCAGGCCATGGTCTTTAATCTCAGCAGGGGCAGGCAGATCTCTGTGAGTTCAAGGCCAGCCTGGTTTATACTGTGAGTTCCAGGCCAACTGGGGCTACAGGGAGACCCCCGTCTCAAAAAACCAAAAGAAAAACCACCAGACCAAACCAAAATGTTTGTAGAGGTCTTCCATCTTCTTGTTCAGTTTATTCATGGGGTTTTGTTTCATTGATTCTTTGTGGTGTTCTTTGAGTCTCTAGTGAAACTACTACAGGAACGGGTGATTTCATTCTCAGCTAGCTCATTATTGGTATGTAGAAAAGCTACTGATTTCTGTGTATTGATTTTGTGTCTTGCTACTTTGCTGAAAGTATTTATATATCTCAAGTTTTCTGGTAGAGTCTTACCTTTTTTTTTTTTTTTTTTTTTCTTTTTTTTTGAAACGGGGCCCCCCTTTACCCCCCCCTTTTTTGGCCCAAGTCATCCAGTTTGGTTTTAAAAGTATTTTTTTTTTTTTTTTTTTTTCCAGAGTTGTACAGCCATCAACACAATCACTTCTGAACTGCTCCCATCACCCTCCAAAGCTCCTCTATTAGCTGATACTCCCTCCTCCCTGCAACTTTGCCAGTCCTGGGCAACAATTAGTCTTTTCTGTCTCTGTAGCTTTGCACATTTTGGATGTTTCATGTCAATGGAATCGTGCAATACGTGGTCTTTGCTAACTGGCTTCCTTCACTTAATGCAATGTTCATGAGTTTTGTCCAAGTTATAACTTATCAGAACTTCATTCTTTTCACTGCCAAATACCATTCCACTGAATGAATATCCAACATTTTATTTGTCTACTCATTATTAATGGAGATTTCAGACCTACTTTTTGATTATTGTGGATAAAGTTGCTAGGAATATTCATGTAAAACTTTTTATGTGGACATATTTCATTTCTTTTTAAAAAATATTTATTTTTATGTGTATGCGTGTATTGCCTATGTGTAGGTAAGTGCACCCGTGTCGTGCAATGCCTGTGGAGGACAGAAGAGGCTGTCGGATCCCCTGGAACTGGAGTTACGGACAGTTGTTAGTTGCCATGTGGGTGCTGGGATTCGAAACTGGGTCTTCTGCAAGAACAA